TAGCCCTGGCTTGGGAGGCTCCTGGAGCGGCGCCTGCGCGGGTTGCTCAGTAAAGGTGTCCTTTTTGGGGAGAAAAAGGGCCCATATTCAGTTAGAATTACTTTCCTGAGGCATTAACAAGCTTTGAAATGCTTCCTTCTTTGTACAGTAATGGCTGGAAGTGGGACGCTGGGTTCGACAGTGTGTCAGTCCTGTGTCCCGGCTCCCGGAGTTTGATGGGATGTGAGATGGGGCCTCGGGTTTGTATCTTGCTCTCGTCTTGCTTTATTAAACGTCTCCAGCAAACTCTTGTCAGTTCTGAGAGTGCTGTCTGTGGCAGCTGGGGATGTGTGAACGCTTGGTGCATGTTGGTTTTCTATAGCAGGATGTTGATGTAAGGTTTTGTGTAATTTTTCTTAATTTTAGGTTTCTAATGAAGCTGAGTCATGAGACTGTGACCATTGAACTGAAGAATGGGACGCAGGTGCATGGAACAATCACAGGTATAGCAGGGTGGGAGACTTCATTGCCGTTTACCTTTCTGCTAACAACTGGCAGCTGTAGTTTGCGCTGAGCTTTCTCACTTTGCACTCCCTCTTGTGCGGGGACCTTCCTTGTGAGATGCAGGAGGTGTTCTTTTTTAATTCACATCTTTATGCGTAGGCTTAAAGTGAGATTGTTACAGAAGAGCCTGGACACTTGCAGGAGTTGCTGGAGGCGGTAAATTTGCTGTAGCCCTGGAGCCTCTGAGCCTGCCTGCAGGCTTTTTTTACAAAAGGCTTGGGGGTGAAGGAAGTAAACTTTCCCAAACTGCTGGCAAAGCTGGTGTAAGCATCGCATTCTTTTCGAATTTTAGCAGCATGATAATGCCGGTGAGGTGCTTTTACTACTAGGTTAAACTGGTAGTGGATATACAGCTCTGGTTTTGTAAGATGTTTCAGTACCTCTGAGTTCCGTTTGTGAAATTGTAGCTGTAGTCATACAAAAACGATACAGCTGAATCGCCAGAAGAGGGGGAAGTTTTTGTAATGGTAGTGCAGATAAATGGCAGATGCTAAGTGTTGATATGGTCTTAAATCAGTTAAACTTTGTAGGCAATTATAATCTAAAAATTAATTCTTTCTCTTGAGCATGGTTAAGGTGAACTTACATGGAAAAGTCTCTTAGCATCATATGCTTGCATTAATTTTGTGACACAGATCTGAGAATAGGTAGTTTGATGGGGTGTACAAGGCAAAAAAGAATCCTGGTGTCAAGAATCTGGTCCCTTGCTGTTGCCAGAGGTCTGCGATAGAAGTTTGTGGGTGTAATTGTCTGGCAAGGGTTTCTTTGTATCACTGAACTGGCCATTGCAGGAAAAGCCATGATGGTTCATTATGTGGTTCTCCTACATATTGAAAAACGCGTGGGCTCTTTCTTTCGTTTGCTCTAATCATATGAGTGAGGGATATTGTTCTGAGGACATCAACACTGGTGTTACTTCAGGGATGATCAGGTACATAGGTGCGGCACATCGTACGTAATGAAGGAAACCCTTACAGTGAAGTTGATGAACATGCTTGATCTTTCCTTTGCTCACCCCTGGCTGTTCTTAGAAGCTCTTCTGCCAAGATGCTGTTAAAAAAAAAATGAAATTCCGACTTGGCAGAGTTGTACTCCAGGGAATTGCTTCGGTGCTTTTTTGGCCGGTAGCACTCGGCTGAGATTTGGCAGTTAAAAACTGGCATTATTTAGCAGCCGGATCCATCAGCTTTGATTAGACCTGAATGCACCACCCTGGTGCCTGATTGCAGCATGCTCTGTTGAACCCAGCTAGGTAGGTAGCAAACAAACTGCTTGTCTCCTGGCCTCACTGCTCCTGCAGGCTTAATTGTTGAGCAAAGTCTCTCTTTTTTTTCTGCTAAGAATCTGTAAAAATGTTGAGTGTAATCCATATTTCTAAAATGGCAACCTTCCCGTAATTGCAGTGTTTGTAAACTACAGTTTCCATCTTTTGCCTAAATTTTTGATCTGAAAAAGTTACTCTCATTTTGATCTTCTTTGAGTACAATTCCCATGCAAGACTTGTGATACACAAAATAAAAATTAATATACGGTGCTTTTTAATGCTTTTCAGGGCTGTTATTCACTATGTGCATTAACTAAGATGTTTTTTCTAGTTTTGGATTAGGCATAGCACAGCGTAGTGGGCACAGCACTGATTCCATACAGTTCTTACATAGTGGCTGTTCAAGGAGTTTGTAGCCACAGTGATTGTTCCTCACACCGGTGTATTTTACGTACTTTTATAGAAGATACCACACCAGTATTAGATGTATTTTATCAGAAGATAAATGCTGCCCTGGCAGTTGGACTCCCTTCTGAGGCTTACAGAAAGAGGAAATGATCAGGTTCTTTTTCCTCCTCAAAGGTTGGTTATCCTTCTTTAAAGAGTCAAAAGACTAGTCTTGGACTTCTGTCAAAAGCAGCAGTTCATTTGTTATACAAAGGAATTGTTTTAACCATTTATAAAATTGCTCTGGCTGTTGCTAAGACCTAGGTAAAGATACCTAGCAGTGAGGTGTTGAAGGCAGCAGGATAGGTTAGTGAACAGAATTTAAGAAGGACATGTAGTTTCCTTCAGTTAGAGGCTTAATTAATGAATGGCAGAAGTAAGTGTTAACGGGATAAATCTTGAAGCACGTGCATACCTAAAAACAGCCAACAAGGGACCGTTTTATAGGTGCTCATCTCCGAAATTAGACCTGTGTTGTTTCAGGAGTGGATGTCAGTATGAATACACATCTCAAAGCAGTGAAAATGACACTGAAGAACAGAGAGCCCGTACAGCTGGAGACGCTGAGTATTCGAGGGAATAACATCCGATACTTCATTCTGCCGGACAGTTTGCCTCTGGATACTTTGCTGGTGGATGTGGAACCAAAAGTCAAATCCAAGAAAAGAGAAGCAGGTTAGTTTGTCGTTTCCCAGTCTGTGTTTGTTCTGCCTTTGTGTGTGTTTTAGTACTCTGAACCTGAAGACATCTGATTTGAGTGTCTTACGTGTCTGCGTTTGGCAGCTGTTTCTTTCATCTTTGCACATTTGATGCGAAACTGCCTGAGTCTGCCTTGCCCACCTCCTTAGCAGCTTTAGATCTTTCTTTCATGTGAAATTGTGTATGGCTTTTCATACATCTGTTCTCAAAAATGTACATGTTTTTAAGCTTGAAAAATCTTACACTATCGCAGTCTCAGAGTTGACATTGAAGAGATTTAAATTTCCTCTTCTCCAAATGCCTGCTGCATTTCCCCAGTTTGTATGGGGAACTTCATGTAGCTTAATGAGAAAGCACAGAACAGCCTCGTGAGCAGTGCGGGATGCCTCACTGAAGTCTCACTTGGTTGTGGATAAAAATAATCTGTCAGAGAACTGAATGGGAGAGACTTGAGAACCTGAGGGAGTCCAGGCTGTGTTCCCCTGAGCAGCTCTCTCGCATTGGCTCCCAGTAGTGTTCCACTCTGCTCTTCCTGGAACTTGTTTGGTTTTATTCTTTTTTTTTTTTTCTCCAAAAAGCTGTTGGCCAAAACACTTTTCCATAGAAACCTAATAGTATAGAGAATAATTCAGTTTTAATCCACATTATTAAAGATTGATACCCAGTAAACCCCAGAAAACCTGTAGATTGTTTTCAGGCAATGTATATATTTTGCCCAGTGGTTATTCTGTGTTCTTAAAATAGTAAGGTGTAAGTGAAAGCTAATTGTGCTCTAAAATAATATCATACCGTTTCTCCTGTAATTAGTGTTTTAAGTATTTGGATCTGCAGTCTTTGATCCATGTGTATGTTATGAATTGGTGTGCTTACCTTATGGAAATGGTATAAGGAACCCTCAGGTGCGTGCATCACAAGTGCAAGTGTTATGCCTGCCATCTTTACAGAGAATAAGGATAGAGCTCCTGAGTTTTGCTCCTCTCATGCCGATTAAAAATAATCTGACCACATGGAGAATTTGGAGCGTGGTTGGATTGGTTTTTTTCTGAACTCTACAGTGTGATGTGAACAAGCACATCTCCATGTCTTTTTAATTTTGAAGGAGTAAAAGGAGCTGTGGTAGCGCTTTTTACCTTGGTTTTACCTTGCACCTTCACTGTACTGAAGCACTGGCAGGCCACAGCTGTGCTGTGCTGCGCTGTGCCTTAATCTTGCAAATGCCAGTGGGCTTCAGCAGTGCGTACCTAACGCGGGGTCTGTCCTTGGCAAAGGAAGTTGTTGGTGGAAGGCAGGTGCTGGCTGAGAGGTGTCTGAGTGCTCTGGCATTCGGTGAACACAACAAGCAGCTGATGCATCTGGATGCTGTAATCATGGAGTCAGCTGTTGATGCTTCCCTGTGTTTTACAGAAAGTCAGTTACCAGCAAAACCCTTCCCTCTTGCAGCTTTGTCCTGTGGCTCTGCTTGTTCTGCCTTCATGGTGTTTCCAACCTACATACCCTCAGGTGGAACAGAAAATTGTAGCAGCCTGCTCCTTGAATGTGGGTGCTGCTGCATGGCTCCTGCCCAGCTACGCACTTCCACAGAATTTTGAGTTTCATAGTGTCTTGTTGAATTGACAGACTTGTTTGAAATTAACCCATAACTTCAAAAGTTTCTAGGGTGGCCTTGCAACCTGATGGGGAAGGTCATAATTCTGGAGGGAAAAGGGGTGAAATTACATGTTACCATCATAGGGACCATGTACCTCCAGCAGTTGCTTGCAGCCTGAATTATTCTGTGATTGTGTGTTCCTTTACCGTTAAATAGCAGTATGTAAAAGTAGGAGCACACAGTCAAGACCTTGGCCTGAGGATTACATTTGAAATGGTTTCATCGTTGAAAACAGCAGGGGCTGCTTGGTGCTGGGATCCTTCAGAAATGCCGCCCTTTTAAATGGTGTCTGGGAAGGGCTGAGCTTAGGAATCTCACAGCGGGTTAAAACTCACTTTTCCCTTTAGCAGCATACTTTATAAACAACAGCATGAGCTGTGGCCAAAAAACCCCACTTTTCCACTGTAATGAATAGTAAACAAAATACTTTGTGTTGCCAATGCTTTTTCTGATGCATGAAAAACTAGATTTAAAAAAAAAAAAGAGGAGCAATTGTAGCTCTCCGTCAGGCTTACGCTGCATTTGGGAGCAGCCAGCTGTTACCTCCCCTTGTTTTCTGCAGTGAAGCCAAAGACAGATGGCATCTGTGGAAGTTGTGTACTGAAAAACCTAACATAAAATATAAAAATATCGTCTGAAACTTACTTAGAATTAACAGACTGCTTCCCTGCAATGAGATACTATGTTGTTTATGCTTGATGCAGAATGTTTTCATCAAAATGAAAGTATTCCTGGGTCTCACTTGATTTATCCTTTTTGTTTCATCTGTTAAGTTGCTGGAAGAGGCCGTGGCAGAGGCCGTGGCAGAGGCCGAGGTCGTGGAAGAGGAAGAGGGGGCCCAAGACGATAACTTCTCACCGCGCAACCGTTACAAATTCTGGGCAATTTCAGATATTTTTTTTGTACAGGTTTTGTTTATGGTATCCATTTTTAATAAACTGAAATGTGGAAAAGTTGTCTTTCCTTTGTTAGTGGACTCTGGGAGGGAGGAATGTCCTGTTTCTAGAGGCCGTTGCAGACTGAATGTGTCTTGTTGGTGCTGGTTGTCATTGTCAAGCTCTCACCCACCCCTGCAGGCTGTACAGTTACCCCAGAGCAAGAGACTTGCGTCAGTGTTCTTTAACAATGTTTGTATGAAATGAATCCCTCTTTTATATGGCACTTGCCCTCTTTAGTGGTTATATAGTTAAGACACTGTGTTAAGAACCTGCATCCCGTTAATGTGTCTCTAATGTCGTTCTGCAGTGAGCTCTTTTAAGTTCAGAGATAGAATTTTACTGTTTTCTATTACATGAAGCTTACAATTTAAACATGTTTTCTTTATACAAGGTTCACACAGGGAAATGAACCAGTTCTGTGGAACTGCTGGATTGTTACATCTCATGATTAAAGTATACCTGGATATGAACTTTGTCACCGCTAATGATATGGCATACCTTTTTTTGGGAGGGGTTGTAAAGCAGCTTTGTCACAGATGTCTTCTAGTGTACTTAAAGTGCATCCCTAGAAAATACGAAGTACAGCACAGTGCGCTATTACGTACTAGAAGTGTTAAGTTTACTGCTGGAGATGAGAGAACTTCTGCAGCTCATACATATTCATACATATATA